TGGACTTATCCAGCTGCGTCTGGCTTAGGTCTGGCTGCTGTGCTCAGCTCCTTCCTGCTGCGGACCAGGGCTAGGACTGGGTCTGCGGGTTCCTGGAAGTCGGCAGAAATTCCTACGGACTTGGGCTCGGACTGGGTCTGGGGGCTCCCGGAACTCGGCAGAGAATCCTACTCGGCGGGCGGGGTGGGGGAGGCACTGCGGAGTCTATATTTTATTTTTATTACATTGTTTGATAAGGATGGGTATTAAAGGATCTTAATTAAACTGAGTATTTGGGTTTAGAATGTTACTATTCAATTAAATAGATTCTTGTGATGTTAATCATATTGTGTAGGGTTTAATTTAAACAAAGTAAAATGACACAAAAAATATTCCCCAGTTTAAACAAACCGAGAACGTGCAAACATATTTTAAAATAGATATTTTTGGTCATTAAAATAATTATATTTAAGTATGTGTGACAATGTTAAGTTTAAGAGCAGATTAGAAATTTATGTACAGTAAGATAACAATGCAGAAATAACTAATTACTGAATTCTGCAAAAATGAACAAAAAGTAGAAAACTATTCTTCTGGGTGATGCTGGGTAAGTTGACTGAATTTCTTTCTCCCTTTCATTTTTTCAGTACATGCTCAATTTTCTATAGCAATAAAGTATTATTTTTACAACATTCACATCTCAGATATATTTGTACATTTTTATTAAATCTCTTGGAAGATCTTTAGTCTTATTCTATTCTGGTAGCTCACATGCTGTCAAGTCTTTACATAGTGACCTGTGGTCATTTGGTTATCTCTGCATTAAATTTTAAATGGGTATACTGGTCAAGATATGTTTATGATTAGGTGGAATCCAAAGGAATAAAGAGATATTTATTAATAGGAAATAAGCCATTTAGAAAGCCTTAAAATTAAACATATTATTGATCCAAAACATTGAAGATGCTTCTTTGCATTTTGCTTGCTATCTTGTGTGGTTACTTCACATTCACTTCTCTATTTCTCTTCTTTCCCATAAAAAGTAAAGAAAGCATTAGTGAAAATTTGTAGCTATCAATATCTCATTGAGACACCTCAGATCAAAATCCTTTGTAACTCATCTACAGCTGTGTTGCAGATTCCCTATTTTTTTTTAAGAAACCCAAATTCATTCATTTTTCTCACTATCTTTGCTTTTGCCCTTGTGAGCACAGGCAAAAGCTTAAAATAGCTCACAGGATCTCCTCTTAATAGCATTCCTTAGCAAATCAAGCAACAAGGAGACTTAAACAAAATTTTGTTACAGTTTTCACATGAGATCATTTTCTTAATTAATTTTATTGAGAAACAGCAATGAGAGAGTTTCAAAACTGATTAGTAGGGCAGTTTCAATAATTAATACATTGCATATTGTTGTCTTTGTAGTGTTTATTCATATACAAGGTACGGACATGATATCTGGTCCAAACACTATTAGTACAAGTCTTTCTTCTCATTGAATTAAGAGAAAGTAGCTGTATATCTATCCTGTTTTGTATATACAGATACAAAATTGCCCTTAATTTGTATCCCCTTTTTTGCTTAGTTTTCTCAGAAATGGGTATTCCATTGCCATTTAAATATTGTATGTGTGTGAATTCAGCAAAATAATCCAATATTGTCCAGTAGTCCATAATAGTAGGGGTTATCTGTAGGACTGGCAATGTCAGAAGTTGTTGACTTGAGCCTTTTATAGCTCAGCATATTAATATGACTTTACTTTTTATACTTTGTTTTTATACTTTTCTGCTGCATGCTTAAGACCAAGATAAAGCAAGACCTATATAACAAGAAATGTAACTTTTGTATTTGACAAGGTCAGTCAAATCCCTTCAGGATTTACCCTGAAACCCTGTGCCACAGTTAAATAAACTTTTTTTTTCTTGGTGGAACTGGGGTTAAATTCAGGTCCTTGAGCTTGCCAGGCAAGTGCTTATTCTACTGAGCCATCTCCCTAGTCTCACATGAGATCATTTTAACTACAATTCTATTATCAGCAAGTGATCATTTAATTGATTCCTTATCACCTACCAATCATTTATTAATTGCCTAAGGTTTTTCAAATATCATGTTAGATCTGGTAGGAATACTAGGAGAGAAAGTAAATACACTTTTCTGCTGGATGGTTAAGACCAAGATAAAGCAAGACCTATATAACAAGAAATGTAACTTCTGTATCTGTCAAGGTCAATCAAATCCCCTCAGGATTTACCCTGAAACCCTATACAGCAGTTTGTAGATCCTTTGTCAGTGTCAGCCATGTGGATGAGTAATGGCCATTGTTGACCAATTTGCTCTCTGTGAAAGCCTAACAGAATGTTTTCTCTCCATGTGACTCTCCTTAGGCACACTCTACATCATTGATCACTTTCCTCTGTGGCCAGTCCTACAGATAACCCACTACTATTATGGACTACTGTACCATATTGGATTTTTCTGCTGAATCCACACACCTACAATATTTAAATGGCAATGGAATACCCATCTCTGACAAAACCAAACAAAAAAAGGGGATACAAATGAAGGGCAATTTTGTATCTGTATATATAAAACAGGATAGATATACAGCTACTTTCTCTTAATTCAATAAGAAGAAAGACTTGTACTAATAGTGTTTGGACCAGATATCATGTCTGTATCTTGTACTATGAATAGGCACTACAAAGACAACAATATGCAATGTATTAATTGCTGAAACTTTCCTACTAATCGGTTTTGAAACTGTCTCATTGCTATTTGTTTCTCAATAAAATTAATAATAAAAAGAAAATAAATACAGACTTCCAGTACTGTACAAAAGGGCTTTCGGTGGTAAGATGAATGCTGTATATCCATGCTCTCTCATATAGTAGCTGCCAATCACATATTGCTATTGAATGCTTAATACATAGCTATGTGACTGTGGATATAAGTTAATTTAAAAATAATTTTATTGAGATAGAATTCAAAAGTCATATAATTTCACCATTTAGTGGTAATTCAATCATTTTTCATGTATGGGTTTTTTTTTTTAGAAATCACTACAATAAATTTTTGAACATTTTTATTACCCTAATAAGAAATCTGGTACTCATTAGCACCCTCCAACTTCTCCAGTCCTATGCAGGCATTATTTTTTTAATGTTTCCATTGTTTTACCTATTTTTGTTTTTTCATCTTAACAGAATCATTATATATGGGCTTTTGTGATTGGCTAATTTGACTTTGTTTATTGTAAATTTAAGAGCCACATGAGGCCAGTCATACCATAGCAAACAAGTGAAATGAAAAGACCAAAGACAGATGCTTATGGAATGCTGTGGCTGAGGAGAAGAAAACCCTACAGAAGGGGCATATGGAGAACAGGTTAGAGAGATGAATTGGACCAGAGCCTGAAGATATGATGCTGTCCTGAAAGAGAGATAGTTAATAGTGCCAGTTAATGCAGAGGAGTCAAAGCAAGTTTACCTCTAGTACAGTGCTAGGAGAAAACTTCTGAAGACATTGCAGTGTGGCACTCCTGAGTGTAGGTAGGTGGCAGTTTTATGTCAACTAGTGGTACAGGGAAGGAAGAAAAATTCAAGAAAACTTGAAAATAGTGACAAAAAATTGATGGAAATTTTGTGTTGTTGCTGTTAATGATACTTTCAATGAAGGCTTGAACATACATATTAAGAGAAGAGTTGAAGTTTTAAGATAGTAAACATGATCAGGCAGATTCTGGAGTATGTAGGTGAAGGGAGCACCAATGTCATCAGCGCAGGAGTCACCCCTGCCATGGAAGACAGAAGTCATCCTTCTCAGAGGCCAGAGCAAGAAAAGAAAAAGGTGAAAATACAAAGCAAGTTATATGAAGAAAGGAAATTCAAAGAGCTGATTTACTTTGGGAAAGTCAGAATCAGGCTGTCTGAGAACAACTGCATTGTGATCATATATGGAAAGGGGAGAATGGAGACAAGAACTCAGGTGGCCTAGGGCTGTGGGTGGTGGGGACATCAGCCATGTATAGGCTATTGCTGTCTGGATGTGTTTGTCTCCAAAAGGCAGCAGCCACGTTCATGGACACAAAGTGCATGAGGTCCAGAAGCATACATCCGGGTTTCTTAGAAAATGTAGCTCCAGTATGTCCCTTAACCTTCTTTCTTTCATTTCTCCCTCTTTGTTTCTCTCTGTTCTTTTATTCTTGTTTCTGTCTCTTCATACACATTGTAGAAAATAGTCCTTTTTGCCCTAAAAGGAAAATTAGAAACAAACAGAAATTTGAAAACTTCTGTATTAATTCCTATTATAATGAATACGGAGTCTAACATTCTGAGTTATAATAAATAGTATTTCTTTTAATTTTTTTCAGTCTTTTTTCAAGTTAGTAGAAGAGCTAAAGAGTACTTTGAAAGTCCTAAATGAAAAAAAACCTATATAAATATTAAATTAATTACCATTTCTTTAAAACAAGCTTTCTGTGTAGATGTCATAGAAATTAAAGCCAACTTCTTTGTGATCTTTTCAACTTTTAAACATACATTTATGTATTTTTATTTTTTAGGCTTTTAAAACCAAGGATGGCTATCTTGTGGTTGGAGCAGGAAATAACCGACAGTTTGAAACTGTGTGTAAGGTAATCTGTAATTCCCCAGGAGAAGGGATGATATACGTAACAATTCAGTGGGTACAAAAGTAGGGAAACTGTAGTTTTGCCTATCACAATGGTACTGACTTCAGAGCCTCTATATTAGTACTTAAGATAAACCATTTTCAGCTTATTATAAATGATGAGATGTGGGTTTAAACTAGTGGTACATTATATATTATCTAGTTGTATTTTGAAATGAAGAATTACAATAGATGGAATTTTTCTGAAACTTCACCTGTCTGTTAAAGCACAAAAGAAAGCAAAATGAATTTTAAAGAGATTTTTTTTTTCACACTAGGCTTTCCCTTATTCCCTTCTCTTTTTTCTTCCCTCACAACTTTATATCCTTCCTTCTACTCTTTCTTGTTCCTTCCTACATCTGAATTGATTTTATTTAATGGTAGAAAATTTAAGGCTTCATTTTCTTAAGTTAGCTTTTGTTTAATGAGGATCTTTCCACAAAATTTATGTTGAAAGAGTTTAGAAATTAAGGGTATATAGAAAATGGTTGCTTCTCAACAAGACCTTAAAAAAGACCTTGGAACCATTTAAAATAGTTTATGTTATGGATTGAAATTTTTTTATCATTGCCTAGACATTTTAAAGGACATTTTTACTATTTATACTCTTATTTTTATTTAGACCTTAGATATCAGCTTTCTTTTCTAAGTTTTATTCCAAGAAATATAACCTACTTTTTAAAAATATATTTAAATTTTGTATTTTTTTGTATGTTGACAATTGCTTCACTTATGAAGACTTTTTTTTTTAATTGTGAGAGGATTTTTTATTTTTATTAACCATGTTGACACGAGCTTTCAGTTTTATTAAAGATTCCTGTGAATTTCATAGAAGAATCTTATTACTAACTATAGTTAGCTCACTCTGTAGAAAAATTATTTATTGCTGTGCCTCCTTTGTTGGAGAGGTTAACGAGCAGAGCTAAAACCCACAGCAAAGGGGTGGAAAGGAGCGCAGAGAAGGTGACAAATGAAGACAGTTCCCATGCAGGAAGGGCTGGCGCGTCTGAGGTGGGGAGGAGGAGAGCTTTTATAACAGTGACTCAGTAAGTGTAGAGAAAATTGATTCAAACATTTGATCTGGGATCAAAGAATCTTTATTATGAACGGTCAAAGTTAAAAATATGAAACATACGGAAGCCGTTGCCTGTGAAGTCATTTGCGTACTCTAACTGCAGAGATGTAAAAGCTAGTTCATTGCTCTAAACGAGTACAGATTTTCTTCCTGGGCCATATGTTTTGGAGTTTTCTCTCTCCAAAAAAGAAAAAAAAAAGTGGGGGAGGGATTACTGGTTGACATGTTCTACACTGTTGAAAATAACCGTACTGAACTCTTTTTAGTTTTGATTCATTACTGCTGATCAGTTTGAAACTTTTGAACTTTTTCAAAAATATCCCTAAGAACACGTTTTGAAAAAGATTTGTATTTCAAAACAAAATATTTGCCAGAAGTTTTCATACTAAAGTACCACTTATTATTGTGGTGTAGTCTTAAACATATTCTTTTAGGGCAACTAGCAGAGTGCCTTGCACCATGGCAAACATGACCTTGATTTTCCCATAAGTGAGTTAGGAATGATAATCCCCATTCTAAGTCACAAAGGCAATGTCTGTACAACTTTTTGAGATGCTCAGAAGAAAACATTATGTGTACATGGCTTGACTGTCATGAGTATAATTTCCTAGGCTTCCTGAGGGAATGCCACAATCTAATTGGCCTTTTCAATGCTCATGATTATATCCTTACATGTAAATGTGTTCTAAAATCCTTCTCAGCTATGAAAGAATCTATTTCCCATTTCTAAATTCAAAGTTCTGTTTCCCTCCCAGTCACATACAGAGAAATATTTCTTACATTTTTCATTTCAATTTATTTATTAATGATGGCTAATTATTCAAACTGGTCTTTTAGAAGATGTGGTCTTCAATTTTTTTTAAAATCATTAACCTATCAAAATTGTTCTTTTGCAAGCAAGATTCATTAGGAAAGAGCTCTACTTTCTGAAAAGAAATATGGCAGTACTGCTTTGATGAATGAATAGGATTTACTTATTCTTCTCTTTCCCAAACTTCATATATTGATTGATCAATACATTTTTGAGGAAGGGGCTTGTTGAGGAATGTTCATTGTCAGAAGTTGAAGTAGGAGCAGGAATGTTGGGTTTAGGGCCTGGTGTCAGAAAATATTTCTTTGTATAAAGTGAACCTTTCTTTATAACAAGTCCAACTTTATGTCCTTTCCCATGACACAGAAGAGTAGGGAAAGTGAGCATATGTAACCATTCTAAGCTGATTGCTGCTAACACTAATGGGTATTTCTATTTGAAGTATATTGACATACTTTAAAAAGTTACTTAAATTGAAGACTTGTTTATAATGGAGGTAGTATACATTAGTTCGCAGCTTAGCAAAGCATAAGAATGTTTTGGAGCCCCATTCTTAAAGATTTGATTTACTGTACTTAAGGTGGGGCTCAGAAAGCTTCAATTTTAATAAACATTATAACTTTTTTCAGCAGGTGGTCTGATGACATTATAGCATAATTCTTAAGGCCTATTGTGAGTCCTGTCTCTAGCCAGGTAACCTCTACAGTGTATTTAATCTTTGTTAAGAATCTGTTTTTTCATGTTCAAAATATAGATTATATATAAATATATAACAATGCTAACATGTAATTTTGAAAATTTATAAGAGTTCAATTATATAAGTGAAATACTTAGTATAGTCCTGGCTCATAGTGTGCACTTAATAAATGGCCTCTACCAAATGTGAGCAGGGAGAGTGGTTCTGGGGAGGTCCCAGTAAGCATGATGTTTTCTAACTCTTTCACACCACAACACAGTGATATGCGTAGAGTACTTGGACAGTTGAGCATAAAGTATCTGAGGACACTGAGAAGTAAACGGTTGGAGACTTGAGGGAGAACATCAGAATTTGAAGTAATTCTGTACTGGCATAAAGCCTACAAGTTTTTCTCTTTAGTTATTTTATTACCTGAATATAGTAGTAGAGAAAGCAGCAGGCAGTAGACCTAAGCTGGAGTGATTTTCTTTATTTCTGGTCCAAGGAGCATGAAAATTGAAATCTAATGTCAGAGTATGGAAACCCTACAATTCCCCATCCTTCCTCCTTTCTGTGTCTCAGCCCCCTAGAGATCCTATAGCAGCAGTCCGAGAACAGGAGCCAAGCTCTGAGGAAGGGAACTTTCTTCATTACTGAACTGAGGTCCCAATGCAAGGGGTGAATCCTTGTTGCCTTTTTCTGCTTTCCCACTGTTGGCTTGATCCCTAAAAGTGTATTGGAGAAGAGGCCAACTAAAGCAAAGTAACAAGGAACTGGAAAGTCCTAGAGAGACTGCAGAGAGGAAAGAGCTTTGCACAACAATCCTTGAGGTTGCTTATGAACTCCTGGGCTCACGCCTCAGTTGCACATGCCTTAATCTGATTCTAATTAGCATCCCAAACATGTTGAGTTAACAAATTAACTGAGCTGAATTAATGAGTGCGTAACTGCCTAGGTCATAGTAGGATCATTAAATAAATCACATGCAGGCCAGATTGCAGAAGCTGGGGAAACCAAACCAACAGAACTAAAGCTCATGGAAGGTGGGTTGCAACTTGGACTTAAATCAGCCAATTGTCTGCTAAAATGATAACATTAAATATTTTCTATAGGATTGAATCATGCTCCTAATACAGTATTCAAAATGTCCAAGATACAACAGAATTACTCAGCATACTAAGAACCAGAACTTGCATGAGAATAGACAGTCAATAAAAAGCAAGGCCAAGACAACACAGATGTTGGAATTAACTCATAAAAAGTTTAAAACAGCTATTGTAAAAATGCTTCAACAAGCATTAAATACACTGTTGAAATAAATGGAAAAGTGGAAATGTTTAGCAAACAAATAGAAATTATGAAGAAGAACCAAATAGAAGCTTTACAACTGAAAAATACAATAACCATGAAAAAAATATCTCATAAAGTATGCCCAGTAGTGACATGCACATATCAGTGGAAAAAGAAACATAACTTGAAAGTTAAATCAATAAAAGTTAGTCTATACAACAGAGAGAGAAAAATACCTATGCCTTACACAGAAAAGGAAAGAATAGGTCCTTGGGGACATATGGTACATTAACAAAAATCCAGTTTCCATATCCTTGTAGTCTCAGAAGGAGAAAAATTATATACTGAAAAACAGTTGAAGAAATAGTAGCTGAGAATAACCAAAGCAGGTGAAAGACAAAAGTCCATAGATTCAATAATTTCAGCAAAACCCCAAGTGGAATTAGCCCAAGGAAATCTCTTCCCAAATATGTAAAATTCTAAATGCTGAAACTTAAGACTAACAACAATCTTGGAAACACCCAGGGAAAAATGATATATTACTGATGGGGGATAATTACCCAGTTGACTACAGATTTTTCATTAAAAACTAGGAAGTCACACAGCATGTTTAAAAGATAGGGAAAAAGAAAGAAGAACTGACAGCCCCAATTTGAATGTCTTTAACAAAGGAAGGCCAAATAAAGACAACCTTATATAAAGAAAAACAAAGAATTTGAAGCCAGCTGACTTACTGTAATAGAATTATTAAAGGAAGTTCTTTATTTGGAGAAGTTATATGGTATCAGAAAGAGACTAGGAGCGTCAGAGCCAGGGAGATAGCTCAGTGGACTAAAGCACCTAATTAGGCCAGCTGAGGCAATTGCAGGGACCATGGTTCAATCCCTGGCACCACATGCTGCACCAGCCCTGTGGTGAGCTGAGCCAGCCAGAGTCTGGGCCTAGGGCATATGCCTGTAATTCCAGCGCTGGAGAGGCTAAAAACTGGAGGATCACTATGAGTCTGAGCTGCATAATGAAACCTTATAACATTTAAATACATTATGAGATACAAAATGAGAGAGAGAGAGAGAGAGCATCAAGAATGAAGAGCAAAAAAAAAAGAGTTCCCCGGTTCTGCCAAAAAAAAAAAAGAAAAGGGAATGAAGAGCAACAAAAGTAGAAATATGTACATGGATTTAATATACTAGTCTTCTTGTATATCCTAAAATGTTTTTTAGAATTAGTTTTATTGAGAAAGAAATAGTAATGAGACAATTTCAAAACAGGTTAGTAGGACAGTTACAATAATATATTGCATATTGTTGTCTTCATAGTAGTTATTCATAGAACAAGATGCAGACATATCTTGTCTAAACACTGTTAGCACAAATCTTTCTTCTCATTGAACTAAGAAAAAGTAGCTGTATATCTATCCTAACAATTTTGTTTTCTTTATTTTTTTATTAATTTTATTGAGAAACAAATAGCAATGCAACGGTTTCAAAACAAGTCTGCATCTTGTACTATGAAGACAACAATGTGCAATGTATTAATTATTGTAACGGAAATATGTTTGATGGATAAAAGTAAACAGTAAAATACTGTCTAATGGGACTTTCAGTGTATGCAGTTTCAATCATCAGAAAAAATAGGTAGAAGAATGGGCCTATACTGTGGTGTTTTTTTGTATTCTGTGTGAAGTAGAAAATATTGATTCAATTAATATTGTGCACAGTGTATATATTATAATTTCTAACACATAAATAAAAATAGCCAAAATCAAAATTAATAAATGGAACACTAAAAGCTTTATATATATTTAGTTTAAATAATAAACTAAAAATATCAATATAATATTAAGTATGAATGGCCTAACCACACCAATTGAAAGACATTTATAATCAGAACAGATTAAAAAAATCCAAAACAACCAGTGAAAACAACCAACCCATGACTCAATAAATTAACTTCAAATATAATGACATTGGTAAACTAAAGGTGATGATAAAAGATATAAAATGAATCAAAGATATACTCTTTTTAGATTATGAGGAGCATCTACATAAAAAGTGGTTTTAGACTTGGTAAGATAAGGTCTATGCATATAATAATGTCCAGCATATCACATACCTTGAAGTGTTTACATTGTTTATCTGTGAATGAGTTAGTTGGAAGACAAATATCATACATTTTTGAACTATGTCTATGGACAAAATATTGAAGATTCTCTGACCTTCTAGGGCTTACATTCTATCACAGCAGACAGATGATAAATAATAACAATAGTAAATAGGTTGTAGGAAAAAGGACAAGGGAGAAGGGTCCCTAGGGGAGTGGGAATGGAGTAACAATTTACTGTGGTGGGTTAGGATAGTCAGGGTAGTAGTCTGTTTCAAATGTTAACATTGGATCCAACTTGACAAAGGGAAGGAGTTAGCCAACCCAATGTCTGGCAGAAGATATTACAGGCAAGGGAGTATCTGGTGTAGAAATCCTGAGGCTGAGGCATGACAAAATGTTCTTGGTCCAGAAAGTAGCCAAAAGGACTGCATCTCCTAAGGAGCAAAGGGAGAGAGCACGCTAGGAGGTGATGTTAAAAAAAAAAAAAAAAAAAAAAAAAAACAGGCCATGTTGTAGGGAACTTTTCATGTGGGGATGAGGGGCTTGGGCTTTCCTGTAAGGGGCATGCCATGAGAGGAGTGTGGAAAACACCCTGCTGTTTCTATTATCAAGACTTTTTATTGTTCATAGAGCTATCCTTCCTTTTCTTCTCCCCCCTTTTTTCTTTGAATGAACATATGCTTTGCTTTGTCTTTTGGGGGAAATAGTACCTAGTTGGAAAGCTTCATACTGCTTAGTGATTAATGTTTCAAGCACAAGATGTATCCTTGGTGGCACTCTCTTTCAAGCACCTAAAGAATAATTATGTTCTCAGTCTTTAAAGTTATCTCTTTAGAAATATTTTGAACCTTAGCCCGGAGGGCAAAATATAGAAAGAAACTGTAATTAGTCTTACTCACTGCTTCACACCAACTCTGCTCAGAGAAAAGAGGTTCAATAGGCATTCCAGTCCCTCTTGATAACATTTACTCTACACTTATTTTTATGTTTCTGATAGTACATTATGGGTGAGGCCAGTTTTATAAATTTTACCTGTGATTTAGTGAAGGCCCTTGGTTTTTCTTGGAATGACTTCTTCACTCTTAGGGAGGGAAGATTTCTGACTGCTGGACAATATGTGAGGCCAATTCTGGGATCAGGTGTGGTGACAGGTTTCTAGGAAGAACACTGTATGTGGCATGGCTTTTTAAAACCTAGGAGAGGAATGCTGTCATTATTATTCCTAAAGGAAATGAGTAAGTGGAAAGTGTGGAAGAGAGATTACACCATTGAGATGGTCTCTTTACTCCAGGCAATCTTCCTCACTTTTCTCTCCTTTGTAAGATGATGAATGGATTGATTTTATTTAAAATGAGGAAACAAATCAAACCATTAAATGTTTATATAAAGGCAAATACATTAATAAAGGCAAGGAAGCTTTCCATAGGCCACATGGCCTGCCCCCAGCCCATAAATGCTGCTTCTGACTTTCCAATACAACTGCCAAACACTGCCTCCACACATTCTTTTCAAAACTTCTTTTCCATTCCAAATCCACTTGGTACTTTCATTACAGTCTTGTTAAAATTGCAAGATGTCCAGAGGGATTCGCAGGCTAAATTTTTCCCTTTAGTGAGGATCAGCAAAGGACGAAATATATAAAAGCATTTGTAGCCCCTATTCCTTCAGGGCAACATAATAAACACAAATTGTGACACTCCTGTAGGAAGATCTTTTAATTTGATATTGTTTTAATGGTTAGCATTTGGGCAATGTATATGGTTTCTTTTTATTTTAGATCCTCGTAGAACATCCTGAATAGTACTACTGGGACAGATAATATTATTTTATTTACATGTGGAACAAATAAGTGAATGCAATTATGAGATATATGTTGGTTGTGGGCTTCATGGAAGTGCAGCCATGAATTTTGATATAGGTTCTTAGAAATAGGTTCATTTTATCTGATTTTGTGTCTCTCTTCTTACTTCCTCTAGGTGAGACTTTTTATTGGGATCTGGTATCCCTTCTGTTCTCATATATGGGTATAAGACATTATGGAGATCTGATAACATTTTTTTGTGCTTCCCTATGTAGGAATATAAATTTAAATGTAGCAAAACCTTCTTGTAAATGACAAACTCGTTCACTAGCATGATCCATCTGAATTGTGTTTGCTTGCTCCATATCCACTGCTTGAGAGGTAAAAAGATCAGAAAGGAATAGCACTGGGAACAGAGTGATAGACTCTGAAAGCGTCTTAGGACTTGCAGGTATGTGAAGAAGTCATGAGTTATTTTTTTATAATTATTTTTCCCTTTTAGATTTTGAACTTGCCTGAATTGATTAATGATTCCAAGTATAAAACCAACTTTCTTCGGGTACAGAATAGAAAGGAGCTTCTTAAAGTACTGTCCACACGGTAAGCTTAGATTATATACATTTAAGAATATGTGATGTCATAATCATTTAGGTAATTTTTTTCTCTTTTTTGGCTTGTTTATATCACTTTGTTAAATCCTCTTCTATTTCTCAAAATTGTATAATGGAAAAATAGCTTTAAAGAATTTATTGTTGTTGTTCAAAAACTTTTGAAAGCATTTAAATCTTTCATTAAATACTGAGTTGTAACAATAATATAAATAAGAAAGTCAAAATGTCTTAAGTTGGATTGTTTCTCTGTGGCCTGTAACTGTTTGGGTTCAGTGTATTGTAAATAGTAATAACAACAACAGCCACCACAATTATATTTCACATTATTTTATAACTTTATTTTTATAAATGCTCTGTGCACATTATTCCATGCAATCCTTATAGTACCTTGTGGGCTAAGATCTTTAATTTCTGTCTTATAGATAAGGAGATGAAGGCAAAAAAAAATCTCTCAAGAATTTATTACCTTTTCTGAGTCCATTGTGGGAATTGTGATTTATGCGTCATGTTAATTAATTAGAATATCTGATTTGCAAAGTATTCTTTCCTGTCAGATTGTGCTTTTGTAAACCATACACTAATTTTTCAACTTTGCCTAATAAAAGAAACCTCCACAAGTCATAATCTGGTTCTGTCAGATCAGTCTCATTTTGTTTACTTCTAATAATAGTCTCTGAGAGTTTCATGGATCTAAATTCCCACATGAGCAGTTCTTCAGGATTGAAAATTTGTTCTAATTATGCCAATAATTTGGATATTTTTGTTCAGATACCACATCTACGCTTTTTGAAAGGTCCATATACTGCCATGTAGTATATATAAGAGCTCTTAAAAATAAAATTCTGCTGTTATTTTGTTTCTGTTCCCTTTCTATTTTGCAGCCCCTACATTAAATTCTGAGTTAATATTCATTTAACTATTTGCCTTCCTGGATTTTAAGTGCTTCTATGCACTTCCTGTATCTCCACCATTTGCCAAATGTTTTTCATGTCAATGAGGGCTCTGTGTGTGGAACTGATACATACAGATGAGGGAAATGAGAATGGGGTGCCCCTTTCCTGGTCATTAGTTAAATATAATTTGGATTCTACTGCAAAGCCCCTGAGCCCTCAGTGATTAACCTTTCTCTACATGAGAATTGGCCATTTATTTCAGCTTTTTGCCTCTTAGCCTCTCAGGCATTTTTAATTCATTTAATTCATTGATATGACTTTTTCCTTTCACACCATGGTTACCAAGTTTCAATAATAGCCACTTGTGAGAACCTTATCAAAAGCTCTTTGATAGTCTACATAAATCATGTCCATGCTGTGAGAAGATCCCAAGGAAAATATAAAACCTGGGCAGATAGAAATATCATCCTATTATTTAGTTGCCAGAACTTTGATAGCTTCAAGAACCACAACATTGAGTCATTAGTTTCCTCTGTCCTAAAACTTTTATTCCTTGCTAAATTCTGTTAGAGAATTCTACTGTGTAAATACTTTTCCCAGAATCTGCAACAGATTAATTGATATTTTGCCTCTTTGGGTGAATTAAATAATCTTGTCGCCTTCTCTCTTCTTTCATATACCTAGAGCTGGGTGTCTTAGCATTTGGAACCCCTAATGTTGTTATGTTTCTATTGAGACTCAAGAAAGAATAGAGTCATACAATAAGGAAGAAACTAGGGTGTCTTCTGGAGAGAGGAAATTTGATAGAGGGAATCCTAGCACCATAGGTACTGTGGTTAAACACAGACTGGATGGCAGAGAGAGCTCTGAGCTTCGTGAAGGTCAGGCTTCCTAGCTTCTTCTCCACATGGTGACATCTTTGGTGCTCTCTGTGTTTTGCAGTTCTCCAGGTCTCATCCAGGTCAAGTGTCTCCTTCATTGTGGATCAAGCAGTGATGATCAGAGGAAATTAGGATAGTAATTCTCATCCTATTTCATACTTCATCATGTGTTTTTTAGAACAGACATCACTGAGTTCATCCATTCAATATAGCATTTTGCTAACAGAAGTCTGCAATCCTGTGAAATCAATCATTTTTATTGTATGATTTTGTCTTTTTTTGGTATTCAAAAACTTTAGTGGCTCTCCATGAATTACAAAACTAAATCCAGTCTCTTCAGTCTGACATCCCGTTTCTTCCATAATCTGGCCTTACCTTTCCTGTTGGCCTTCTCTCATCTGCTTCAGCAGAAGGGCCTGTTCCAGCCACACTCCCATTTGGTTTTTTCCTCTGGAATGTTTCCCATAGTCAATATTATCTTGAATACAATTAAGCCTACACGGCCAGTTCTACATCTCTAGGGAGCCAATGGGTCTAATATCTTTATCTGTTTTCCTATCTGATGACTGAAACTTCAGGAAAGGAGGTGTCCTTTTTGTGCCCCAGATCCAGCCTCTCAAGTTATCACACAAGAACAATCAGTATTAGATTTCATGGTGATGTTGTTGTTTAGGAACATTCTCTTTTCAACCTTTCAGCTTTGCTTTTCATGTTTTTCAGCTACAACAATCTCAGAACTTGTGAATCACTTTAAGTTTGTTTTAGGACAACACAGCTACATTAGCACTCAACCACAAAAAGGAGGCAGGGAGAAAGGAAGGAGGGGAATCAGTGTAGGTACAGGCCAGATAAATGTTACTATCATTATTCTCACTTTGCAGATGAGAATTCTGAAATTTAGGGAGGTTAGTCTCAAGGTCAGGCATATAGGGAGTAGTTACAAATGAGATTTGGAAGACCACCCTCTTTCCACATATTGTATTACCTCCCTGAAGTAGCACACACCCTGTGCCTGTGTGCCTGTTCATTTAGTCACTCAGTAAATCTTTATTGAGCACTTACTACATGGTAGGTGATATTACAAAGATTGGAAATAGAGAAGTGAACAAAACAAAGTAAAATGTTAAAAAATAGTTCTGGGAAGGGAACAGAAGAGTGACAGAAGTTGGGGTGGGGTGCAGATGGTTCTCTCATTCAGGTAGACCAGGAGACCCTGTCTGACAGAGGGGCATTTGAGCAGAGGCCCAGTGGAAAGGGGAAGGAAGTCGACAGGCACATGGGAGAAGCATTTAGGGTGTTGCATGCATGGTGGGGAGTTTAAGGAGCACCATAGAAAACAGTGCCTGCATCTGGATGAGCAGGGGGAAGGGCAAGGATGGCCCAGGAGCAGTGTGGGTGGTGGCAGGAAGCTGAGGTTGTGATGGTTATGATAGCTTTTATAATGAAACAGGTGAAAATCTTGTGAAAGTAATTTTTTTGATTATAAAATCAGTTTGCTTCCCAGAAGCTTCTATTTTCTAATCTGAGGAGACATTTTATTTTATTTTATTTTATTTTATTTTATTTTATGTATGTATGTATGTATTCATGCATGTATGTATGTATTTGATACAGTGTCTCACTAGGCAGCTCGGACTTGTAGTGATCCTCCTGTCTCATCCTCTCCAGCACTGGGATTATAGGCATCTCCCCAGCCTTGGTTGCTGATGCAGTGCACGTGGGGGTAGGGCCAGCAAGGCATGTGGTAGTAGTGGATATCAGATGGCTCAGTGGAATAAGTGCTTCCCTGGCAAGTGCAAGGGCCTGAGTTCAATTCCCAGTTCTGAAAAAAAACAAAACAAAACAAAAAACAAAAACTCAGTCAGTAGTGGGTATCAAACCTGAGTTCCTGCACTTGCCTAAGCAGGCACTTGAGTAGACATTTTAAAGGGAAACCTCAGTGGTGGTAAACCTATGGCATGCATGTCACAGTGGGCTGTTTGTATCACTGAAAACTAAAAGGTTTGTCCAAAGTCTTGTCTGAACTACATGGCCCCTGTCTCAAAAAACAAGACAAAACAAAACAAAACAAACCCACAAATAAAAAACAAAAAAAACAAAAAAAGGTTTGCCATCACTGCTCTACCTGACAGGTCTAAGTATTCCCATTGCTCCCTTTCGTCTGCTGCTTGTAAATATCCCCCTTTCTTGCTTGGAAAGACATGAGGGACTCATGAGACTCAATGACATATGTTTTTTATCCATTTATTAATTCATATATTTAGTTAACAAATATTTACCAAATACTTTGCATGTAACAGGGACTGTTCTAAATGCTAGGAATATAGGATTAAAAAGAGATAAAGATCCTTACCTTTTTGACTCTTGATCGGGAGGGCAGTGGTGGGCTGCTCTTGACCTGCGTCCTCAGCTTTGAGCTCCTCACTCTCCTGCCTCAGCTTGCCAAGCAGCTGGGACGGCGAGAGTGTGCTACCATACCCACTGCCTACTGGCCTTGTGTCAGGATACACTTGCAGCCTCCCAAGCAGGCATAATTTCTTTTGTTGCTTTGAAATGTTCTGTGTCGATGAGCCAATGTAATTAGTTTACTATATTTTCATATAACCTTTAAAACATTGTTTAAAAAGCATTGCAGCTACAGGCTGTGCCTGCTAATCAGTTGTTTTCTGCTTTTTTATTTTTATTTATTTTTTGAGCGTATACATACATGCTACAATTTTTTTCTGGTGTGGTTTGCCAATTCTATAATGAAAGCATATTTTTAGTAGCAGTAGCTACATTACCATGTGAGTATACCATATTTTTGTCTGTTGTCTGCTATTAAACATTATAAGCACTTTTCTTCAAAGCTCATAGATGCTTTCCACAGCCTTTATTTTTATTTTAGGAAATCTTTAAATCTGTAAAAACTTAGAAGGATCTGGGAGAATGAATTAGCAGTACAGATAACTTTAAGAATAAACTTTTGATGGACTCACTATATTCATTAAAGCAAAACAGAACCTCTCTTCCCATAAACTCAATTTCATACCCAAAACTTAAAACTGAAATATTTATAGAATTTTATGGTTTACACTCCTAAATAGACACATGGATTTCCTCTTGTGTTTCAGAGTCTTCATTCCAATTTTTTTTTTCCTGAGCCATTTGAGCACTTCCATCCCTACCCATGGTTAATTGCTCATTTCAGTTTTTCAAATCAGGTGTTTTCTTTG